TGGAGAAGTCACGGCAGCATCCTACCACGCGTGAACGCTCGCGGAGCAATTGCGCGCCTCACTCATGCTGTGTGCATACAGTCCTTCCACTCTTTCTGATTGGGAACGTCTCTAAGATGGTCGCCCTGAGCTACGCTAGCGTGGATATGTCTGGCCAACTTTTTGGCGCGAAACATTTTGGCGCGAAATGTGTCTACATCATGTCTCCATGTGTCTTGCATCGGAGATCAATGCGCCCGGTCTCTGACACACTCACCATCATCTTCTCGTACTGCGCCACGCAGTGCTGTGGTTGGCCAGGGCGGTCGTACGTGCACATGTCGTTGATGTCCGGTGAGGTTGCTGAGATGGGGGAGGAGGCTAAAGCTGACGCGTGCTTGATCCTGGATTCTGATGCCGCGAGAGAGGGAAACTGCAGGCAGCGGTGTGTTGAGAGAGGAAGCAGGTGGATGCAGGGCGGGGCCATGGGTGGGTGGGCTGGGTACACACAAGTTGTGTGATGAAGTGCAGGGACGATGGCGATGGTGTGTGCTGATGGAGAGGAGGAGAGAGTGAGAGTGAGAGTGAGAGTAAGGGGGAGGGGGAGGAGAGTGTGCGCGCGGGCTGGACTGAAAAGTAAAAAGTAAAAAGCCGTTTGGCTTTTTTTTGGGCGGGAAAATTGATGTGACCGCGTCCAACTTGTCAGCGGAGGGGGAATCCTTGAGACGTTCTTCGGAGATGCGGTGTAGATCCGAGTTGTCAGTGGGATAAATCTCAACCTCAAGGCTGCTCTCGCCTGTACGTGTAAACATGAGCGGGGGAGAGCAAGGATGTGACTCCAAACTTTCGAGTGCTTGCATATGCGCATCCATTTCACTCACCGGTCCACACCACCGTTGCGTGGGTAGGGGGTGTATGCATAGTGCGAGCTCGAAATCGCTTTACCTGTTGTCTCTCGGTCTGCACATTGCTACTGGTGTATTCATTATTTTCTCCAACACGTGGATGGGCAGTACACATTACTGCCGGCGAAGGAGGGACCGGCCGTGGCGTGCTTGTTAGGTGTAGCGGACTGCTGTACATATCATGATGCACGACCAAGCAGCTTGTTTGGGTGTGAACAGCAGACCAAGCGGTGTCTACCTCTTGTAGAAGCAAATAAATCACCGAGAAGAGCGAAAGAGAGAGGCGTCATTTTGACAACAGGAGATTCTGAGCCGCGCCTCGCCACACGACCTGAGTGAGTCGGAAGTCGGGCGTCCCTTTGTTCCCCCATGTATATTGTCTTTCTTGGGGCGGACGCTGTCGTAAGAGACATGCAATGGTGATAATCCTGGTTGCCGGCAGACAGAAACAACGGGCAAGCCTTCGATCACGGACAACGCTCGAAAAGCATCCAGGGTTGCTCACTTGCACATGGGCTACAGCAGTCAGCTTTCATTGTTTCGATCTCCCGCTCATGTTCAAGCCACACCTCGAAGAAACGAGCATATTGACGTGAGATAGGACGTATCACATTTTCCGAGCCTCCATGATGGGGATACACAAAAACAAAGCACACGAGAAGAACACAAGATATTGGGTATGTCCAGGATCCAGCGCTGCACACAATTTTTGCACATGATACAACTGGTCCGAGCTGCATAAAGGTGGAGTTCTACCCCCAAGAAACAAACGCTCACGCTGCGCAGCGACTGCTCGTGAAGATAAGGCATCTACCAAAAAACAACACGGCCGGCACTAAAACCAAGCGTGGTAAGCTTCAAATGAGCTAAAAAAATCCTGTCCGGTGGTATTCTACCGCGGTCATGTTACACAGCAGTCATAGCCCAAGCGGTGTACGTATCACTGTGCGCCATCAACCAAAAGCAGTTCCATCCTGCCTCCCCCCCAACCCCAGGCCTGCATTCCTCCTCCCTGCTATCGGCGCCCTCCTCAGCACGCCCTCTTCCGGTGCCGTCCTTCTATAACACTACAGCAGTAGCGATCTTCCGCAACAGTGGATCACGTGCGATACATCTCGGTGCCGCACGGAGGGTGTGGTCCAGTCTAGACTTGGTCCAATCTTCTACCCGGCTTCCTTTCTCGCCCTGCTGTGCTTCACCTACAGTACGTTCACTGACACAAGAACGACGAGCAAGCGCCGGAGGAACCGGGGGCGGGGAAGAGAGGAAGAGGATAAATGCCGCGCAACATTTTTTGCCTGTGGTTGAGTGCAACTCAGCAGTACAGTAGTCTAGTTGCAGAGGGAGAGCCTGGTGCACAGGACCAACAGATTACGAAAGAGAGGCACCTGATGCTCTCTTGACCGGAGGATCTATTCCTTGGAGGATGAGAGTCCTATAGACGTCTTCCTTGTACAGCGAGGGGGGCAGTCTTCGAGAAATGCATGCCGGGATGTCTTCTGAGACCATCGTCTTGTGCCCTTGTGTATGATAGGCAGATGTGTCCTGTTGTGGTGCTTGGAGGAAAACGCCCCTCCCTCCGTTTTCGAAGTTGTTGCAATGTTGCAATGTTGAAATGGAAACTACTGCTGTAGAAATAGAGTAATGGAGGCTACAGCTTTCCCCCGACGGATGGAAAGCCACAATATTGCCATACCAACATGGCGTCAACGATTCCACTCTGATAGTTCATCCGCCTACTGTAGACATATCGTCCGCCTACTGCTGTCGTTAGTTTCGTGAGGGAGAACGGAGTCCTGCTGTCGAAGTGTTGCAAGAGCAAAAACACGGCGAAACATGAGCTCTCGCCTGTAGCCTGGCGACACCAGCGAGCGCAACGGTGCTACAAACGCCGCAACCCTGCTGTACGGTTGGCCACATCCAACGAGCACACCCGAAGGTAAAGACGATGTTGAGTCTCTCTTTCCCTACCCATGATGCTCCATGCTGGAACTGACACCTCTGAATACGCTTACGCATATTTATACCCCTTTCAACCGCGGTCGGCTGCCGCCCCACCCCGCGACCCGCGGAAAAAATCTTTTTCCATCCTCAACGTTGGCTTCGCCGCAAGGTAGAGACCGGATCAACAGTCCCCCGTGCAACCTACACTTCACCAGGTTATCTCGGCAGCTCACCATGTTCGCTGTTGAGGCACTTCTTCCTGCTGGAGCGCTCCAAGCTCCTACTATCCGCTGTCGTGCTCGGTCATCGTGCTCGGTCCTGATTCAAAAATCTGCAAAATCGGTGCGGACATCACGTGGACGCACGGGCGAGAATGGAGGCACACGGCAGGGGAATAGGGTGCGCGAGCTGGTCGTCAGCATACGTGAGCAAGGTGGTTGCGCGGATTCTGTGTGACAAGCATATTGCAGTCAGTCTGTATGGACTATCTCCTCTCTGCTGGACCCAAGCCTCTCTCTAGCGATCCTGCAATCCTGTGCGGTGCTCACTGGCACTCTTCGCTGGCTTTCGTGATTTTGGGTCGCATGTGTTGATCGATTCCAACAATCTACTCACGTTGCTGCTGCTGGCGCCTTCATCTGTAGACACCAAGCCCCCCAGCCCATACCACGAAGACCCAGGTAGTTGGTAAGGGTGTTAGCATGATAGGCTGTTGTGGAGAGCAGGATGGCGACCTCTTCGAAGTCTTGATTTGAAGGAGTGCAGAAGGAGGCTGCTGCCTTTCAAAAACGGAGATCGCCGTGATCTCCGAAATTTCGATCAGGGAGTTCCAGGATGTGGCTCACGGAAGGGGCCTAGGATTTTTCCATTCACGATTAGACTGTCAGCTCCCCGCTCCAGTCGTTCCCTCTCTCTCTCTCTCGTGTGGAGAGTGATGGGTGCCCAAGGCGCTACACGCGTCGTCATGTCTTGGTGTGTCTCGCTTAGGCGCCACCCTTACGCCAACCGATCGATGCTATCACGGTTGTCATCGACGCACGATTTCCTTCGGGGAATTTTCATTTTTCCCTATATTCTGGGTTACGTATTGTAGCCGGCCGAAGAGTGAACAGATGCTACGGTGGGGGGTATGCGTTCCAACACACTCGGTTTTTGCAAAACCCGAAGTACTTTCGGGTTGGCAGCACATGCACGTACATAATGACCGGCTGCCGCACACAAAAAAAGAAAAAAAACGTTTCCGGAGAGACAAAGCGGGAGCGGAGGTGGCAGCTGGTGAAAATAAATACATTAATGTATCGTCAACGAACGGACCCTTCTCTGAGTGGTTTCAACAATTTGGAGAGCACAGGGTTAAAGCTCCTTGCCAGCTTGGGTTGTGGTGGCCGTTACTTTCCAGCAAGGCCTACGAGGGAGGGGGGCGCAGCTGCCGAGATGGCACCGTCTACCGGCACCCCATGCTTACTGCACACAAGGAGGAGAACACGAGATTTGGATGGGGTTTTTGTCAAGTCCGGTACGTCTTCTTGAAATCCCTGTTGTCAAGACAAGTTAACAGGTGCAGGTACACAACACCAACAAAACTGAAGCTAGTACACCCCCCCACGTACCGTGACAAAGATATCAACTACAACGTGAAAAAACGAACAATAATACTTTAGAGTACTGTACTTCGAAGTACGAAGCAGGAAAAACCGGAGCACATTTGTACAATTGACGCATGCTTCAGGCTTTGCTTGTCTTCACTCCAGGTTGCAGGAAACCCGAAACATGGCAAAACTTCAACGCGGGAGTGCTAAAACAAACCTACGCTAGCCTAGCATCTGAACAAAAAACGTCCAGACGCCCTCTAATGTCAAAAATCCTTACGTCCATCCCGCCCTGTACAACAAAAAAAAAGCCAAACTGGCTGGGAAACAGCTTCCCAGATCTCGATCGATGCCTCCCACTTGAAGCAACAAGGGACGCGTTGACCCCCCTATCAGCCGAGGTACACCCCCCCCCGCTTTGTACACCAACAGAGCCGCGCACGTACATGCCTCCTGATCGTCCCATTCTACACGACAAGAACAGACAGGCAACCGTAGGGTCCTCTCCCGCCCGACACAACGTCTAACTCAACAAAAACACCAAAACAGACATGAAAAAGAGGCACCACGGTTCCAGGGCCCCTCTCCCGTCCTCCCCCGCTGCTGATCAACGAAGTGAAGCGGTCCGCTCGAGCGCATGCCTCGACTTGTCCAAAGCGACGGCCGCCACCGCGCTCGCCGGCTCCTTCACAGCTTGCGCCGTAGCGTAGTGGACCATGAACGCCCCGATCGCGGCGCTGGCCAGAGGAAGAGCGATCTCAGGGGGCTCCGCCACACCCGCGCGCCCGCCGTTCGCGAGGGTGTTCACGACACCCGGAACCGAGGCCGGGGCCACGTCTGATACTGGCGCTGCCGGGGTCGACGTTGCAGAAGCCGCAGGATTCGCGGAGAAAGACTCGATCGCCGATGTCTCGCTCTCGGATGGCTGCTGTTGCTGCCGCTGGCCGTCTTTCGAGGCGAGGTCAGAGCCAGGCATGGAAGTGATTTCGGCGTCGAAGTCGAGGTCGAAGAAGCTCTCGTTCATGGCATCCTCGCCAGTGCTGCCAACGGCGCGAGACTTTTCACCATCCTCGCTGGACGCCACGTCGATCAGCTCAAGGGGGCCCAGGGACCCACCACCGCCCATCGAACCGACGCTCATGTTGTCGAGGTCCCGCAAGAACGAAGAGTCGCGGCAGAGAGCCCCGCCGCCGATGATAAGCCCGTTACCGTCACCCGCGCCAGCGGTGGGATCACCGCCCGTCCCCATAGAAAACTGGTACACCGGTTCCTCCGACAGCTCAGGTTTGACCCGCACAGCAGCGGCGTCATTCTCCCCGCCCTCGTCACCGCCGCTCACGGCCGTCGGTCCTGCGGTCGCCTCCATCTTGACGCGAGGAGGTCCCGCCGCGACCCCGACAACGGCGCCGCTCTCGGACTCGTTCGCGCCTGCCGTCCCGTCCCACTCCCCGGCCAGGCGGCGCTTCTTTGCCCAGCCTGGGGTAGGCGGGACCTCGTGCTTGACGTCAACGCCCGCGCCGCCGGCCGAGCGCTCCTCCAGGAGGCGGTCCACCATGCGCGAGAGCGCGTCGATCCGACCGTCCATGTCGACGACCTGCAGCCGCAAGCTCCCCACCTCCGATCGCAGGTCATCCACCTCTTGCTTTTCCGGCGTGACGCCGTAGTGGGTGGCGCGGCGGATCTCCGACAGGAGATTGGGCTTGTCGCGAAGGAACAAGTCGTGCTGTGGATTTACAGGACGGATTTAGGACAGGGGCGTGCCCGCGCAAGGCAAGGTCTTTAGGTTATAGAGGAGAACGAGCTTTTTCTACCGTGAGTGTATGCGACCACAGCAGCAGTGCTTTACGGGGGGGCACTGGAGTCTGTGAGGGATGGTTCTCATGGGCCATCTCGATCAAAACGCAGCAACAGATAGTTCCGACACAATGCACGTTACACACTTCTAAGACATGGCGTGATTCAAGAGACATGATCGTCACCGGGGCGAGGAATAAATGTTGGCCCTACTTCTGAAAAAAGATCCATTGTATAGGCTAAAATAGGCCCTAAATAAGCCCAGTATCCAGTCCATTTTCTTCCCACTCACTGCTGTAAATACTTCCAACACACCATGCCCTTCGACTGGTGTGGAATATCTCGAAGGGGTACTTACAGCAGTAGTCTCTCTTTGACTGAATGTTATTTTCTAAAACCACTCTTCGACGTTAAGTAAAAACAAGCAGCTTCAGCACATACGCGAACGCAAAACACGAATGGCAGACGGAAATCGGGGGGATGGGGGAAGACGCTTGGATGGCATATGCATATGCATACATCGATACGATAACGGAGAGACACCGCGAAGTTTCCACCCGATCCGCAGTATCTGTGCTGAAATCTTTCAGTAGATGGTTGTTCATGAATGCGTGATTCTCACTCTCGTACTCATTGTCCAACCCGTCGCATTCTAACTCGTCTTGTTGCCACACACAATATACACCGCCCTCGTTTTCCGAGACTAGCATCTTATGTGTGGTGAGATGCTGCTCTATGAACTGCAGCTGTGGGGAACACACACACCATCCTATTTCTCTGCGCTCATGACTCACGGACCTTGAATTCCCACCACTTGCTGTCCTGCCCCTCCACGGTAATGTTGGATTTGACCTTGCGGAAGCCGTAAAAGTTAAGCTGCCTGACGAAGGAGCTGAACTTGTTGTCTGCACAGACACATGCACACGACAGCAGAGCAGTTGGGTTGTTACTGCGTCAGTACGGTACTTCGGTTTCTTCCCGAATAAACGCCGCACTACTCCTTTTTTGTACGCAACAGAAAAATATGAGAGCGACAGAAAAATAAGAGTGCGGCAGGTGGCACCTTCATGTGGGAATGTGGGGAATGCATTTACAGAAGGGTACGAAACGAATCTTACTTCGGGCACAATCTGGCTCCAAAATAAACAAGCCTGCCGGACATTACGATAGCATTTGATATCACAGTGCAAGCGTGAGTGCATCGGCAATCAGACTAACTCGACAACTGACTATCTGCGCGTGCGCTGCAAAACCAGGTCAGCACGTAGCGGGGTGTGATCCGAAGACGGCTAGATTCCGCGTTATTTCGCCGTGTGTCTTCAACGGGAAGCAGCGTGTGGCAAGTCGGGAAATTGCGGAGAAAGGCCCGCCCGCAGCTTGAAGGGGGGCAGCAGCAACAGGAGCAGCAGGCAACACGTAGCCAGTAGTACCAGAGACGTAACACTACGCGCACGCTTTCCTCGTGCACAAAAACCGCTGCCTGCTGTAGCAACGCGAATCGACACACAAGACTTGCTCACGTTTGAAGAACCGTGGGATGACCTCATTGGCGAACGTGTCTGGGTCTTTGATCACGAAGGTGTCGCCCGCAGCAGTCCAGGCCGCGTGCACGTCCTCGCAGGTGTTGATCATCTCGTACGTCTTGCGAAGGAAAATGGGCTCGTCCTTGACGTCCTTCCGTCGTCGGGGCTGCGCCCGCATGGTGTAAGATCCGTCAGCCGGCATCGTGTCCCCCTTTTGTCCGTGTGCTCGTTTGCTCTTGTTGCTCTTCGTGCTGCTTGCTGTCCGTCTGCTGAGGAGAGCTTGACTTCTAGAAAATCCTGGCGTGATGAAACAAGGCCGGTGCTAAGCAAGGTGCTCTTCACGAAACACCTGTCTGGGTGTTGAAATCGCCGCAGGTCCTGCTGTATGTGGCAACGAATATCTGTCCGAGGTGTACTGACAAGAGCCTGGGAGCGTTGGACGTTGTCGTGTGGCGCTTTCTGTTTGGGTAAACGGAGAATGGGGAACGGGCGCCTGCGCATCGCTGATTGGTTGAAGAAAATGCAGAAAAGCGCAGCGCGCGGCAGAGAACGCCTTCCACCTCCACCCGGGGGTGTCCTTCATCCTCCCCCTCCCGTCCGTTCCTCGTCATGCTCGGTCGTTCCCCGTGTCAGGGGTGTGTGCCGGTGTACTCGTGCACTGCTGTAGCACATCCCTATTGATTGTAACCAATGCGGTAGGAGCAGTTGCTGAGCAGGAGAACGAAGCACTTTGGTAACGTATCGTTTTCAAGTAAGAACGAAATGCCCGACATAGACAAGGAATTGGCGGCGAGATTAGCCAGGCTTCAGGGATTGTCCACAAGCCGTAGTTCAGGAGGCCATAGCACCGGAGTCGGGCTTCAAGAACGCCTGGATGCTCTATCTGGGCACTGTCCAGAAGGTGCAGAGGAGGACTTCAACAACCGATTAGCTTCGCTTTCAGCAGCGAGAGACACGCCATCCTCCGCGGAGGATCTTAACACACGGCTCTCTAGGTTAGCGACCGGGAGCGATGCCGGGTCCAAGTCAGCTACGGCTGCCCCTAGGAAACGGCAGTACGATGTACCAGGGGTGGGTAGCGCTGATTATCTCTATGTCTCTTTTGGATGTCTGCCAAGCACCCTTCGCAGTAGTTGTGTTACACTATTTTTTTTAGCTATGTATGTAGCCGATGTTTTGGAGCTATGAATGTAGCCGATGTACTGCTGTAGGACTCTTGCTGTGCATCTGTGGAGAGGGTGCGGAACCGCCGGTCTTCGCAACCCTGCAGATTCTTCAGTGGCAAGCCTTAATGTCGAGGTTGAATCGCGAGATGTTTCCTGCTCGACCTGCCCATAACACCCCATTCTCAACCTCGCAAAACACGAAAACAACACGTTCAGGACTTTTCCGACGAATGGGAAGACCTGGACGATTTGTTGGCAACCGCGCTTGAGGGAAGCAAAGGTTCGCCTTCAACTGGCGAGCCATCGCTACTGAGGGAGTCCGATGTTGACGGGAAGCTCAGCGAGCTCGATGTGCTGCTGAGAGCCGAAGCTTCTCGAGCAACACTCGGCGGCAGCGCCCCAGCCGAACGCGCCGCGGCAACGGTCGACCAAGCGGTGGAGGCGTTTCTTGGAGGAGGAGGAGCGGGTGGGGATGGGGCCGGGCGGGGAGACCAGGGCATGAGAGGCGGTTCACTCGACGTTGAGGAAGAACGTCTCCTGCAGATGGTGAGTTGAAGCAGGCAACGGCGGGCCGATGAGTCTGCGGCCCACATCTGAGAGTACCTTGCTGACTTATGTGCGTCATGCTTCTGCCTGTGTGCATCGTGGGAAAGCTGTGGGGCTATGCACACGTGTTATTTTGGTCAATAAGCGCCAAACACCTTTCTTTCAGCCCCTCCATTTTGTCAATAAGCGCTACACGCCTTTGTTTTGGCCCCGCCATGCCTCAAAAGTGGAGCTTTCAGCCTTGCCTCTTTTCTGAGTTGTGGGCAACCGAGTTCCCCGATCATGAAGTAGACCCCGCGTGCAAGTGGATTTGTTTTGGGACAGTTTCACGTTGTGGTTGCGGCCTGCTCGTTCGTTCCCGGTGTGATGACCAAGAGTTATCTTGGACGATGCCTAATATATTCGAATGTTCTACTCTTTCAAAGTTTTCAAGTGCTGCTTACGAGCTGCGTACAACCTTAAGTTTTTGTCGACCCCTCCTTGCGCGGGGGGATTACGTGGTCTGTCCCAGCTGTGCCACGTGTGCATGACACCTTTAGTCGGACAAGAGCTCCTGCCACAAATCAATGGCAGAGAGATCTATCTACCTGTGGCACTACTGTCTCTCCACGCAACTGCTCTCCGACTGCTTGCATGTAGGTGTCCGACCAAGTACGGCTCGAGGGTGGCGGCCTAATCAACGAAGCATCCGCGCCAGTGCAGGAGAAACCGGGAGAGATGTGGCTCCCAGTCGCCCCCACAGGCCGACCAGAAATTTCTTCTCCCGCCGCCGGCGCAAACCTCGGCACCGGAGCAGCAGACGCAAGACTCATCGCGCAGCAGGCGATGGATGAGGCACGTCTAGGCCTTACCAGCACCGGCGACGGGTTCAAATCGGCGTCCGAGACTGGAAAAAACGCGTCACATCGAGATAGGCGGCAGGCGGCTGCGTGTCCGAAGGATGAAGCGTTGTCCTCCTCGTGGTGCTGCATCTGCAGTGAGGACGCGAGCTTGCGGTGCAGGCCCTGCGAACGGGAGAACGGTCAGGACGAACCGGAACTCTTTTGCGCGCGGTGCTTCAAGGAAACCCACAGAGGGGACTCCGAAATGGAGGTGCACCAACCGCAGGCGTTGTCGAGGGCAAGGCAACAGGAGGAGGATGGGAGAAAAGGCCGTCGAACCTGGCGGCGACGGAAGTAATTGTGTGTTCGTGTGATCGTTTGTGATGGCAGAAAAAGGGGAGGAATGAAATTACGGCTACTAGAGTGTGTGTGTGGTGTCGGTCCCTTTGTTGTTGGAGCCTGGCGGTAACCTGGCGGCGACGGAAGTAGATTGTGTGTGTGCGATCGTGGTGGTTTGTGATGGCAGATATATGGCATGACTGAATAATGGCTACGAGACAGTGTTATTGTCGGTCTCTTTGTTGCAGCGTCTACTGTTATGTCGGTGGAACCTGGCGGCGACGAAAGTACATTGGATGTTTGTGTCATCGTTGTGATTGTGATGGCAGATGTACGGAATGAAATAAGAAATGACTATACTATAAGAGTGCGCTTGTGTTTTTGTGTGTCTCGTTGTTGGAGCGTCTACCGTGATGTCGGTGAAAACGCCTCCGCAACCGATTGCTTGCGTCGTACTTTGTCTTTGCCTCTCATAGTGGCAAGATTCGAACGCATCTGTACGTTGTGGCACAACACGGACAAGAAACTGAATCTTTCGTCAAGTGAAATTGCCGTCCCAGACATGCATACCGTCAACCACGGAACGAATCTCGGCCCTGTTGGTGTGGGCGAACACGGATCAAATCGTACATAAGACCAAGAGGCATAGCTTGGGTTGAATGCAGCTGCTCACTATGCCATCCAATGTGGGACGACAATCCCGGAATTGTATCAGAAAACGCGTAACAAAGAAAACCGTATGTCCAAAGCTTCACGACGTGCGCTCTACTATAGCCAAAATACACAGTCATCTGCCACAGTCGCCCGCACGCGGCAAACTTAAAAAAACATATCCTCTCAACAATTGTTTTGACAACCAAAACGGAATGTGCTGTCCTCCAAACACAACAACGAGCGGTACCCTGACTTCGCTTGCCCTCACTTGCAAAGGGAAAGCACAAAGTAACGTCATCCGCCAGGCCACACCACTACGGTCGACGAGGGAAAGAAAGAGATGGGTGAAAAAAAACCTCTCGCATTAAAAAAAACTAAGACAAGGACCGCAGGAGGAAAGGTGGGGCAATAAAACAAACAAAACTATGAAAAACGCTCCCGTGTGACCCTCCTCTTGTGTGACCCTGGCTGATACGTCAAGTATGGTATATACGCCGAAAGGCCTGTAAACCGGCGCCAGAATGGATCAGACGAACACACACAAACAAACACACACACGCACCTCTGTCCAATTATACGTGGACTCACCCAGTGGAGTGTTCACACGACACGCTTCCATGAATTGTTCCGACACAGGCGCCAGTGCTACCCTGTTCGGATTATCTGCACTCCATTCGATGCTGCACGTGCTGAGATCCCATTCAACGCTACTGCTGTACATCATGGACTTCCCAACTGCCGTACTCACCCGCCTGTGCCTTCCCCCAATCCGGTCGAGACACACTCGCGAGAAGGTGGATACGTGCGGAACCAGCCGCGTATGAGGCAGTACTGTACCCCGCGGCTAGCTCCCTCTCAACTCAAGCAGCTTACACATTCACAATACAAGCAAGATAACTTACAGATTTTATTGCTGACAGCACTGAGAGCATGCCCGCAGGTGGCGGAATCTCTTCAACGCAGGGGGGGGGGGGGGGGGGGTCCAAAATTCAACCTACTTCGAAGTACAAAACAATGGCATCCCACATCTGTGAGAGGCATACACTTCAGAACGCGGACGTCAAACTTGGGTGCAGTTCGGCCTCTCATGCGAAGAACGTGTACACCTCCTTCCCCTCGTGCCAAAGCTCGTACTGGTATCCTGTGTTGCAGAGTCAGAGCCGACATGGGGCGGCCAGGCACAGGCGAAATACTTATTTAGTTGCATCTTTTCGAGAACCCCTAGCCGCGGAGACTGCTACCGCCGTCTGAGAGACTACAGTATGAATACGAAGGCCTGCGGTATTCCCTTCGCGTTGGTCCTGCACCTGCAGCACATATTCTACTCCAGAGTCAAAAGTGCTATATACCATACACCTTGTGGCTTCGTTCGCCTTCACTAGCTGTGTTCATTGCTCGCCATGGACGAATCCACAACAAACAAGTGGCGTCGAAAGGATTCCTGGCACGTTACACACCACAAATAACTCGCCTGTCCAGTACGGCACGATCTTGATCTCCAACCGGCCGAAATCAGTCTTTGTAATCCAAGAGCCGCCCATTATTGGCCTCTGGATTTCATCTACCTTGACGATTGCGTTTTCGCTTATTTCAATCTGCAGTTTACACGTAACGCACCCGCAGCGACAAGAGGGTGCAAGTGAGACGGCAAGTGGCACCGACACAGGGAGCGAGCGAGACGGTAAGTGTCGACCTCCTGAGCGAAGGACCTCACTCCTATTTCAAAAACGCGCACGAGCGAAAGCAAATCTCTCGGCATCGTGCCAAAGTATCGAAAGTAGCATCTACTGCACAGGACATATTTTTTCGGGAGTTCGGTTTCAATAGCTATCCATCTTTGCTTGCTACTTGCTAGTGCTCTCTTTGTTAGTCGTCAATGCGGGCTTGCATCGTTCTGCCGAAGCTGCTGCACTGGCGTCTTGTGTACAGAGCAGAGTAGTGGCCAAACGTGGTGAGCAAGGAGGGTGAAAAGCCAACGCAATCGTGCCGGCCAAAAGTTCCTGCTCTGTCTACAATAACAACGGTAACGTGTTCCTTTAGAGTATTATGTTTCAATACACAGCACCGATAAGCCCTGTCCCCCTCGGGAATGCTTTGAGCGAACTCAACCGTTACGTTGCCGGCCGGCCTAACCGAACCTCTTCGCTATTCGCTACTGCTGACTGATCTCAAACATAATCCCTCCGACCCGGTCTACGACAGCTCGAGAAAGTGTAGTGTTTCGGCACACTCCTGTTTTGTATACTGTATATTCAAATTTTGTCATGTGCCCGCGTTTTCAAGCAACAAACGTCGGCATTGCTTCACAACGGTTGCATTTCTTACTCTCTTTCCGTGGGGTTCGAACTCTACAACCTTCAGGCACAGTGAGTCGATGTCCTCGGGCGCCATCGTGCGCACATCCAATCATGTCTCCGGCACGCTCCACAAAGGCGCCGTGAACGAACGAACTCCTGAATAGACTGCTTCGACCCGGTCTTGGGAGTACGACCCTTAGTTGATCAACCTGTTTCCCAGCCAAAAACATGTGTTTGTGTTTCTCCCTGAAACGAGGTGTATTCTACAGGCTTCCCTCAACAAGCAACCACGCCTGGCTCACCGATCCCGTCCAACTATCGAAGACAAGCGCCACCACCATCTGTTCGGCGTTGTCATCTCCCTCGACATCTGACAACCGGAACGTCCAGAAAATCGAAACCTTGCTCCAGAACGATCGCTCCTTCAGCAGGTGAATCTGATCACGACGGGCAGAAGAGCGAGTAGTTGGCAAAAACGCATTGGCGGGTCAGGAGCCGGGCGACAAAACTCCTCACGCAACAATTCCGAGTGTCCACTCGAACGCTCACTACATGGTGCAAACGTGAGACAGATCGAGAAGTACTGCTGTGACGGCATCACGGCGGAAACGTCCTGCCTCGGAAGGCGTGTGTTTTCAGCAAAGCTTATTGGTAGAAAGATGCTGTCAGGAAGCGAGCGCCTCTACGCCTGCACAATGCGCGCGGTTAATCTTGTTTTGTCGATCCTTCCTTGTTGTTACTGCATGTCTTCGGCTACAGAGGCACGGCCTAGTGTAGATGGAAACCAAAGCGACACGTGATAACTGATACCAACTTCACAACGAAACAACGAATGGCACACTGCTGTTCTCTGTAGAAGCGGAGTATTTTGGCTTCTTCTCAATAGTAGAAATAAAGAATTGAGCTTGCGACATGGGGAATCTATTCCGTTCGTGTCGAAGAGGGGGGGCAGAGAAGGCCATGGATACAACGGAGGCCACACACCCCACCACAACAGCAAAACCGACCTCACTTCTTTACTTGTACGCTCTGGACTCTCCCCAACTCGTTCACAACTCACAACAGACCCAAACCGGCGGACCGTTTTCGCGCTGTGGCGGCGTTTTCAGGAGCAAACAACCTTTCAGCAGCGATTCCAAAATTCACGTCCAAACAACAGCAGTAGTATATTCCGCGACAACTAATAGTTCATTACCACGCCCAGAGCCCAGAACAGCAAACACTACCTCTGAGGGGGTGTGCGTAGTGGTGTACAATCTTCGGGGTACGGCTGCAGGCATACGCGTGTGCGCCTGTGGGAACCACGAAGAAGGCTGTTATTGAATCTACTTTGAATCTACGGTTCGACTACATACCAGCATACATACCTGGTTTACGTCTTGCAGGAACCACGTCGTACAACAGGGTATAATACAAACCATCCGACAACAACAAGCACAAAGCTGCAGCTGATGACCACAACACTCGCATCAGCCAGAGTCTTCAATCGAATTGACGAACAGGAAGACGTGCTGCTGCTCCATGCGGCTCTGCTACAATACTGCTGCTGTATCATCCGATGCGCGAGCCGGGCATGCACCTATCGCACCTCGAGTTTGGCGTTCTTCCCCCCCGGAACGGCGAGGGATACCTCCTTTTGCAGCTCGGGCGTAGGCATCGGTGTATTCTTCCTGGCGAACGCTGTAGGGTTGCTGTACCTCTCAATCGACTCGTCAGCCCAAGTGGTCATTGGCTGAGCAGCAGCAGCAGGTGCTTCGCCGGAATCTCCAGCAACGGCAGTTGCGGAGCTCATGTTCGCTGGCTTGAATGCTCTTTGGTCTTTCTTTTACTCTCTCCGCCTGCTTTACTACACGCACAGGGACCTTGGGACAGCAGTATCTCTGTGAAGTAAGCGGGACGCAGGGAGCTACAGCGTAGAGCAGGTCTGTCAGCAGCGGGCAGGGCAGGGGGCTGGACCAAGGGGGCGCCGGCTGCCCCCGGGGGAGGGGGCGGCGGCAATCCGTCCCTCCCAGGGTGTCGGATATGATAATGAGGCGTTTTCGCGAGCCCGAGGACCCTCGGGTCTAGTTCGACGAACGATCGAAGGAGGAAGGAGGTGATCAAGCAAAGCAGAACAAGAGCCAGGACAGGACAGAGGACTTTACCGAGGGGAGGGAGGGGGTGAGGCAGCCAGCTTGAGAGACTTCTGGCCTGACCCCGCCCGGAGCGCCAGCCGTGTAGGCTACGAGGGGGGGAAAGGCTTTGAAAAATCAAAAAAACACTTTCGTTACGGCATGTCTGGTGCCGAAGCAGAAGAGGCGGAAGCGCTCGCCGCGCGGGTTGCCTTTGACACCGATATTGAGGGTTCGCCTACTGCGCCCCGGGAAAACGGAGCCTCTACCTTCTCTACACCACAGCGACAGGGTGCCGAAGTTCGACAGGGCCTAGACGAGGTGAGCATGTGTGCCAATGTAGCATCACGAGGACTTGTTTGTTTCTCTAGAAAAGCGCGCGTGGTCGCCATGAACTGGTTGTTTGGCCTTATACTAGCAGCTGTGACAGCTCTCACACCTGCTGTGACTAACTCTCTTCCACACACACTCTCCCTCTTTGCGCTTGAGTTTGTGTTCCTTCTCGGAAGGCAGAGCAGACCGTATGCCGACCATTGCACACTGGTGCTTCGTGGGGAATTTGGCCCCCCTCGATAAGCACCACGCTGCCGCTGACTGCTGTCATGGCGTACAGAAATTGTCTTCTCTGCCTCTTTTTGGAAGGCAACAGCTTGGTTGTTTTCCTATATTTTTCTCGAAACTTGTTCCTGCGCGTGCGGAACATCACGAACACATGATGCCTGTGTGCAGAAGAGGTCACATCACTGCACACCCGGGTAAGTGGTTCCTCTGGCCTCCTTCCCCTCTCTACCAGCGCCGCCAACCACAAGCCCTTGCATGTCCTGGGACACAAATACGTACACGCCATGCATGGTCTGCAGAACAAACCCTGAGATGCCTGTACAAAATGGATCTATCCAATGCATCTGTCCACATCGTATTTGTGCGACGGCGGCGGGAGAAAATGCCACAGGCGGAATGCAGAGGGTAGGCCCCTGTTGTATGTGGCCATCCCATCTAGACCGCCGCTCACATCAACGTAATTTTCGACTGTCTCTCTTTGTTTTAGGGGCTACGGTATCCGGGGTGACACAGCACAACGGTTCCGTCGATTTTTTTGGCGAGAGCTCTTGAACAAATTCACATTGGACGTCTCGCGCGACTACTCGCTGCATATTATAATAATTAAAAGGCAGCTGAAGAAAGCGCCGCACCAGGGTTAGAACGCGCGACCGGACACCCAAAGGCTTTGATTCTGTCCTAGTTTTGTCCGGTATGACGGGCCGGACAGCCGGATAGGATAGATACAGCAACAGCCACGTGCCCCCGGATATTTTCTCTCTCTCGTTACTTTTGCATACCAGTGTGCATACTGATAAACTCTTGTATCTAGAGATCTATTTAGAGAGTACATGGCATGCGGTACATTTTCACGTGGAAAGGTCGCGTGTGGCAGCCTACATATGGGTGAAGTGGTGGAGTACGCTACTGACAACACACTGTCAGTTAAGCTCTGCCCCCCATCGGTCCCAGGTCTGGCTCCGCTCCTTTTTTCTCCCACCTGCTGTGTAGTTGATGAGGGCGTTTGCTTGGTCCGTTTCACAACGGTGGCTCTAGACACGGCTGTCAACGGTTGCGTTTCGGGTAGCCACCGCAACGAACGTTTAGATGGCATACGTGCGCTACGACACACGGCGTTATGACAGCCTTGGGCTTTGTGATCTCAAGATAATGTTTTTCGGTTGCTTTATCTGTATGCCGGTCAGATTTCAGCATACGACACCGGTCGAACAACACACTTCTGTTGTGCCTCCACGGCCATGTTCAACGATGCGGTCGTCTCAATGGAACAAGCGCTACTGCTGTTACTGTCCAAATCATACACAAATTGAAAATTACGTCAAACATTTCGGGGGCGAGAGTGCTTCCCGCATGGTCGAACAGCATGGAGACTGAGAGACCTGCATAGTATGGCGGATGGGCGGGGGTGGGGGGGGGGGGGTGTACTCGTAGTCGTGCATGCCGTAGTCGTTTGACCATTGACCTCGCATCCCTACAAAGCCGGGACGGAGCACGCCGGGTTCTCACCGGACCAGGCTCTCACATCACCAAGCGCGAAGCGCCGTGAGGTATTTGGCGAGTCGCATGAAGGGTGAGCTGCATCCTGCTAAGGGTGTTCGGCATCTTGTGCTTACTTCCTTGCGTACGGATGACAGCTACGTATGACTTAATTTATTTTCTGGTGCTTTCACTTCCAGAGACAGTTGTAAGCACTGTGTAACTGCCTCGAGGATGCTTGACCATTTTAACACAACGTGGTGCGATCATCCCCCGTTGCGCGGAGTGAGGTTTCTCGACCCCGCACAACATGATCTTCTCGACCACCATTATGGTTACCGCCAAAAAAAAAAAAAACGAGGTAAAAAAAAAAAAAACGGTAACCTGGTTGCCGAGTTCACGAAGTGAATTGGCTTGTTTTACAACGTCGTTGCCAAGCGACGAAAACCCAACCCCGATGGCAAACACCGGGGGTGGGGGGGGGGGGGGGGCCAAACAAACATGTGAACGGACAAAACAGGGGTGGTCCAATGTATATTATGTCTGGGTTCCCAAAACTTCCCGAGGGGGAAAAATCCACAAAACCCTGAAACCCCGGAAATATTCCTTAGGAGCCCAGCCGATGGCAATGTGTTATTTGTTGTCTTGTTTTTTTCTGTTCCAGCTCGTCCCGATGCCACTTCTAGTATATCTCTCAGGGTTTCCACGATTTTTTTCTGTTTTTGCTCGTCCCCGTGCCGCTCTAGCATATCGCTCAAGATAGACTGCCGACAAACACCACGAACGATTTGACCCTTGCGTGGGCCAGCCCGACAGTCGTTGATTCCGTCGGTGTTGCTCCCATCGGTTATGGCGTTTGTCATGTCGACGGTGAAGTAGCGGGCAGGTTCGTAGTTCCATGCACACCCGGGTGTTCCCGCACCGGCCGCAATCGCCGTTATCGCATGAACGCCTGGACCGAACCTGTGCTAGATTCGAGTGTGTGCGTCGAGTTCAAGTGCGCAGGTTTCGTCAGAGGTCTAGCGGGAACAAACAGATACGGGCACGACAAACCCGACACAAGCACCTCTACAGAAAACAACAACACGTATACCGAAGGTGGCATAACATGTCACACCCCCTGAACCAATTTTCAAAGAGGCTCGATTGTTCAAAGCAGAAAGATCAACGAAAACGGCGGTTTGGAAGCCGACTCGTGGTGAGTTTTCCGATAACGTGTTGTTTCATTTATGCAACCTCTTCGTCGTGAAGTAATCGGGCTTTGAAAATTGGCCCAGGGGATGTCGTATCTTGTGTCACCTAAGGTTTTCTGGAGTGAAAAGTTCGGGAGGCCGTACATAAGGGTACACCCCAAATCCCGAAGCTCGAAGCACGTGGACCTTCGCTGGTGCCCTTGTCGTTGGGCGTGAGCGTCAACTTGTTTGTCGCTGTCGCTGGAAAAATGGTCAAGAATACCCACTTGCCTATGCATCAGCGCTGTCGGGCGGCTTTCTTACGGAGGCCATGCAATGCTCGCCCGGGCGCCGAAAGCGATGGGGTGCTACAGTATATACTGAACAAGGATATGTCGCGAAGGTTCAAGTTTGGCACGACGAACCAGCGAATGAATCAACCACAACGGCCCAGCCCTTCCAAGATGCTTCGAGCCCGCCATTTTTGCTGTCTGCGCAAGCACGCCGTTTCCAGCTAGCGTTTGAACCGAATGTTACTCGCTACGTGTTCTTATTTGTGTTGAGGAAGCTAGACTTGCTACCTGGTTGTTTTTACCTCACTTTCGAAAAGCGTATCCCCTTGAAGACCCTGTGCTTTCGTGGCTATACAAGCTTTGGAAGGCACAGGCGAAATGCGAGGCTTTGTCATACTCACCTCTGGCTGTGAACCCGAGTGCAGTAGCCACAATCGGTCTTAGGTCGTGTGTGTGAGCCCGGCACGTCTAGCACTGGTACCGTAGCGTTGGTCAAGCGAGCTCCCAGCGCCCAATCTCCAGTACATGAAATTGGGGCACCCCGTGACTTCGTGGTTCGTCTAGAAGAGCGAGCGCTAGTTTCACCAAAAACGGCTTTGTTTCTGTGGATTTTTTTGATGATCACGATGCACAATCTAGTAACTCAAATCACGTGTTTATTTTGATCGTTTGCCTCGCCCTGGCCGTGTGTGTGTCTGTGTGTGTTAATCGTGGTCGGAACCAGGATGACGTTCGAGAAGGCGAGACGCCTGAGGAGGCGCTGCAGCGTCGCATCGAGGAGGGAAATATTGGAAAGGGGAAGACGTTGCGGAGATGGAAGGACACGGAAGAGAAGGTGGGGAACAGGGTCGTGTGAATGATTGATGTTCCTTGCTGTTTTCCTTTGCTCTTTTCAAGTCTAACGTAGCACACGCACCCAAAGACACAGGAGAAAGAGTTTGGGTAGTCTACTCTAATCGTGTGCTATTTTCAAAGTCAAACGTTCTGATGAGCGGTTCTGCGGTTGCCGTTTGAATCTCATAAGGGCTGCGTACGTTCCGGATGCATCCCCCTTCACAACGCACTTCCTACATTAGTTTGTATTTTACGACTCATCATCAGCCGACGTTGTACAGTACGGCTGTACTCCGTTGGCTTGTGCAGCAATCATGACCCCAAGGTACATAATACGCGACAGAAGAGAGTTCGATTTGGCCTGGCTTATTTGTATCGTGGTCCTTTCCCAGATTAGTTTGGCTTTCCATCGTGCTGTCATGAACCGAGCGTGCCAGCGGTGAAACTCCCCATGTTAATCCATTTAGGTAAAGCGATGCCGTTTTTCTTTTTTGGGGGTGGGATTAGGTCTAGTGGAATTGTGGTCATCGTGTCTCTCTTCCCGTTGCCCCACCCATTACCCACGCCTCATGATTTTATTCTCTTTCTCTATCTCTATCTCCATCTCCATCTCTATCTCGCTCGCTCTCTCTCTCTCGATGCTTCTGTGTGCTTGTAAACAATACGTGTTCGGTTCGCTTCTACAGCAAAGGATGGTAGAAACCGGCAGGCATCAGTCCAAGGTGCAGCGATACGGCCAGATCTACGAGGAGGTCCGGGCCCTCCGAAAAGAGACGAGGCACAGCGTGCGGGACCTCCGAGAACGGTATAAGGACAAGGGGGTCATCCAGAACAAGGACCAGTTCATCGTCAAGCTCATCGCACAGGTGTGTGCTTGTGGTTCGGTCTGGCCGTCAACCTACTCTGAACAAAGACGGGCCCTTTGTGGAGGCTTCCTAGCTGCGGTCTGTTGTATCCCTGGCTGGCGCAATGGTTCATTGTTGTGGTTCTGCTATGTTGGCTCTCGTCGCTAAATAGTCGACTGCTATAGGTCTGTCGTTGGGGTGTTGGTTTTTTTTTCTCCCTGCCAGCTTTTCGACGAGCGGTTCTCGCCGCTGACTTGCTGGGGTTGATATGATGCTCCGTGTCGATACCCCCCGAGTGCCTTTAGAAGAGCTCGCCGGCCGATGACGTTGCGTCCTCAAGGAGGTATGGTGAGGCGTTTGGGTTTGTTTGTACATGTCAGCTGTTGGTGTGACGGGTCGAAAAGTGTCCAAGTGGCCACGGTCGATGCCGGGGGTATTGCCGCATTTGACAAGGCTTGTGTGTGGCCGTGCTGCTCTCTCCGTGCTGGGTGTTTTGCACCCCCGCACAGAGAACAACCAGCCGTTTCGGGGTACGGATCCGACCCGTCTACAGACCCTTGTCTCGACTACTCGCGGTTGGCATGAGGGTTAGACTTCACCGGCGGCGGACACGTGCATTCTCGTAGACAGGACTCTTAAGCAAGCCTGGAGATGCTGTTCACGCTGATTGTCTCGTATACGAGTTGAGCTATCCATATGGATTTCGCCGTTAACCGTCCACACTCGTTTCTTCGCGGTAAACAGGAGCGGAACGAACAGGAGGGCAAGGTGGCTGCGATCAAGTCGCTGCAGCAATGGCGACTCACGGACGTGGAGCTACACAACTTTATCAATAGGCAAGTGTACAGATTCGTACGACAAATCGAATGGTTTTGGCCCCAAGTGTCGGTCACTATTTATCTCTCCGGTTATGTCGCGTTGGACAATTGCTACCTAGAGCGTAGAGCGATAACAGACAGAAAAGGTTGGGAGCCCCACTCGTCCCGTCGGTGAGATCGAAACCTTGTCGCCGCTAGTTGTGAAGTGTTCACCCAGCAAAGCGTGTGTTGCAAACACAGACCCCCCAGCTAGTTGGTGAGTACGCTTGAGGAAAGTGTTGGCTGAACTCTTCTCGTTGAACAAATGTGAAGGCATCGGAGGAGGTCTGTGTATCAACGCCGGATCAGAGCTTCTCTTCTGGCAAGGATATGTTTTTGGCGGGCACAAAGCACGAACGACGGCTAGCAAGATGAGACATTGCCTCCCTGTGCAAACCATGTGTATGTATGTTACCTGAAGGCTTGGGCGGAGATTTCTCCCCTTCGGTGTTAGGTTCCCTGCCTAATTTTCACGTTTCGTATGCTCTCTCTCTCTCGCAACAGATGCCACAAGAAGGGGATAGCCGGTAAGCTCGACCTTGCCATGCAGTGGGCGGTCGAGCAGGAGGAAGCTGGTGGCGAGGTGAACTTTAAGGAGGGGCTGGCGTTCTACTCCAGCATCGGCATCCTGCAGGTAAGAGGATGCCGGGGTGAGGCTTGGCCGGTGTGTGTGTCGAAAATGATTATTATTAGTAGTCATGCAGCTTGTGCAGTGCCTTTGTTCGTCAATGTTTTGTTCTACTCGGATGATCGAATGGTTCTGCAGAGCTACCATGGGCATTTATTTGCTCGATCGAAAGCTGGAGAGAGCACGACTCGCAGAACATGATGCAATGTCCCACGGCAACCTTTCGTGCGCAGCGCGTGCGTGGAATCTCTTGTTTCGGCGCCCAGAGGTGATCCAGCTGTCTGGCTCGAATTTTGCAAGGGTCGCTTATGATCTCTTGCTCTTTGTTTGCGTTCGATCCGTTGGCCTCCGCCCTGCATGGTGGACCAATAAATGGGGGCGGAAGGCGGAGATTATGTGTTGAGTTTGCTTGTTCCTCGTCGTCGTAATTGTTTTCCGGGCCTTAGCTTCTCGGGTGTGTGGTGTCAATGTCGCTTGATTGCGGCGCAGCAGTACTGCTAGGATGAAGCCTATTTCGTACCAAGCCACGAACCAATCCCATGTCCTCGGATATCTTCCTGCTGGCATATTCCCCGATTTTTCATGCTCCCTTCTTCTTGTTGGTGCGCATGTTTGTTTTTTTTTTTGTCTTGGGCGCGCACAGCCCCGCAGTAGTGCGCACACGCAGCAGCAGTGGCGAGAGTGGCGGGAGTGGGAAGACGCGTTGACGTGCGCGCTGGGCAAGTTTAAGAAGGCCGGAGCGGAGGGCGCCGCCGACGTGAAGGGGGCCGAGGCCACCGGGCCGGAAGGGTCGTGTAGCAACGAAGACTCGACGGTTTGCAATTCCCCGTGGAGTAGCGAGCGAGGAGGAGGGGGCAGCTTCGGAGGCTTCAGCGGGAACCTTCGAGCCTCGTCTTCCCACGGGGAGGGAGGCCGGCGACACTACTCCAGCTCCGGCACGGCGGCGGATAACGGGACCGCGCCGGAGCAAACGATGAGAGACGCCATGCCGCTGCATCGACGCGGGCGAAACTCGTCGCACCGGGGGGACTTGGGGGGAGACGAAGCGAGACGGGAGTGGAGTTGGAGATCGTATTCGCCGCCGTCGACGCTGTCGCGACACAGGGGCAGAAACACGAACGGAGGTGGTGGAGGAGGAGGAGGAGCGAAGAAGAACGCCCCCGCGGGTTTCGTGCAGCCTGCGAGCGGGCTCCCGGGGGCGGATGGTGGGACTGCGACGAACGGCAAGCCCCCACCTTCGCCCAGCAGGGTCGATTCCCCGGATAGGGTGGGAGGAGGGTCGGGGAAGTCGGGAGACTCGGTGTTGCTGGGGGAGTCCGTGGTGCGGTCCAGCGGGGGTTACCTCCCCCCAAGACACCCCCTCGCGGCCCTGCAGCTCTCGCCGACGAGCCAACGGAGCGCCGTAGGGTCCGACTCGGAAGAAACCGGCGCGGGACGAGACCCCGGCAGAGAGAATAACGGAGGAGGCTCGGGCGCAGAGCCGGAGTCGGTGGGCGGCGGTGCCGAAGCGGCCAGAGCCCCCACCGAGGGATCGTCGGCGGCGGCGGCGGCGGCGGTGGCGGTGGAGGACACCCCGGAGGTTAGACCGGCGGGCGACGCCGCGGCGGAAGGCCCGGCCCCCACGGAGGGCGAGGGTCCCGCTCCGACGGAAGGAGAGGGGGGGGGCAAGAGTGCTGCCCCGGGTGACGGGGCTCGCCGTAGGCTGAGGTATAGCGACGCCGGGGGCGGCGCGACCCGCGCGGGAGGAGGGGGAGGGAGCGATTCGCGGTCGGTCTCGGGAGTGTTCTCGGGGCTGGCGGACTGGTTGATGCCCGGCATGGAGCGTCGCCGGCCCGCGGTTAAGACGGAGCTGCTCCTGGAGGTGTACCCGAGCGCGCCCCAGTCTCCCGAGCGCGGGCAGCCGCCGGTGGTGACGAGGTCTGCGCCGCCTACGCCCCGCGGGCGCAGGAGGCCAACGTCGGTGCTGAGGGATGGGGGGTGGTTCTACAACGGAGACTCGGATTACTCGACGGAGGAGGAGGTGGACGGCAGCTTCGAGAGCGAGGACGAGGGGTTCTGGGCAGACGCGGCGGAATCCAAGGCGCCGCAGAGGATCGGGGGAGGCGGCGGCGACAGCATCCTTACCCGTCTCAAGAAGCTCTTCACGTGACGTGTTCTTGACACGGACGGAGCCCTAGAGAGACAGACGAGAGGAGGGACTAAAAATAAATATGAGCACAGCAAGTCAGGTGTGGTTGGTGTTGCATGTCTCCAGACGAAGAATGTTTTAACGAGCGCGTGGGCTACTGTTTTTTTTTTTTTCATTTGTTTCGGTGCCGGTGCTGACGTTTTGTTGAGCCCTTTTTGTGTCCCTTGGCCCGGCAAGGTTGCTGCTTCCGTGGGATTAAGGTTGTACTTTGCTGCACGCTCGTGTTTTTCGAGCTCGTTGTCTGGACGGCCGCCGTCCAACGATAGCGATGATGCGCCCTCACGTGGTACATATATTTCTTAGAACCTTGTGTAACATTTCGTTTTTCTGGGTTTTTCAGTTCCTTCGTCCACCGCTCAGTCCGTTCTCCTTTGCATGGGTGGTGTGCTGATTTTTTTGCCGGCTGCGAAAAACTCTTTTCACTATTTTTTCTGGTACGTGCGCTTTTGGGGGGTGCTTTGTTTTACCCGTGTGGTTGTGTCGTGCCTGGCGTTTGTTTCGTCGGGGGCACAGCGGACGTTGTGCGAGCGGCATTTGAGGGTTCGCCCCTCTGGCAAGTTGAACGCAGTTCGTCGCTGCTGCCGTCGTTCTTCTCTGCCACCACGCTTGTGTGGTTCTTTCTCCCAGCGCTATGCATTCCCGTGCGCTCACGGATTGTCGTCGGCACACGGTGTTCGAGTACCACGCCGCGCTACGTATGATGGAGACGGTATTGTTAGCAGGTTGTGTACCGTCGAATCGGGGCGGAGAGTTTCTTGGGATTTGGAGAAGCAGGGTAGCGCTATTATAGTGACAAGCTCAAGCGAGAGCTCTCCTCTCTGCTTTGCTACCGACGACGAGTCAAAGAGGAGAAAGAGAGCTGGGGTAAGCCCACTAGCGAAGAACACGCTTCGTTCGAACTCAAGTTACCTGCTTCGCCTTGCGGGCCGAGCTACCGCTACCGCTGGTTTGTGTTGGTACGGTGCGCGTCAAAAGTGCACGCTTCTTTATGGACACATGTATGTTCGTGCAGCAGACGTGGTGTTTTGTATCAGTAAATTGGCTTAAAAAAAACTTGCGCAGTATCGCAGGACCTTTGGAAGGTTGTAGGGAGAATGCACCTACCTCCTTGCTGTTGCCTCCCCGTCTCCACGCATTGCTCAACCACGATGCCTTTGCCACCCCTTTTCGGTGGATCTTAAGTGTGTCTCACGCGGAAGAAGCGAAGCAGACCGGTTTTGTATTTTCTTTTCGGAGCTCTTTTGGGTACACTTCTTGAGGGTTTTGTCGGTAGCCGAGAAAACCGGTGCTTGTCTGATGTCGAGGCTGCCGCCGATTCAAAGCAGCCCGCAAGTGGATGTGATTTGTCTTGATCAGCCGGTATACCGGCGTTTTTGGTTTTCTTGAACCCACGGGGAACTGGTCGCAGGTACAATCAACGGCAAGCAAGTTGATTACGAACAGTGTTCGAACCCACCAAACAGGCGCAGATCGATGGCGGGAAGCTCGCACATGTGTAATTCTTTTATGGAACTAGAACGGACACCTGCGTTGTTGAAGCATGGCCAGTGGTTTCACGTGCGTGTCGTGTGGAATGTGGCTTCGCGTGTCGTGCGATGGTTATTGCCAGCCGTAAGCCCGCCCAAACACTTAATTATGTCGGTGTTTTTTTGTGGGTCCACGCATGGATATATATATATGTTCAACCGGGCACATGGCGTGCATGCAGTATCGTGTCTGCGTCCAAGCTTGCTTCTAGGTGGATGCGAATGAACCGTTACCTAGATCCCCGATGGAGCCAAAAGAGGAAATAATGGACGTGAAATGACACTTGAAAGCTGAAGTTGGGGGGGGGGGGGCTGCTCTAAACTCTTACGCACCACCGTCGCACAAGGTGAAACGCGTGCAACTATATTTACGTAGTAACTCCCGTCCCATACACATCCTTGCCGCCTCTGCTTCAGCATTGCCTCCAAACATGGATGGAATAAACCAACCACCGAGAAAGGAAGTGAAGGTGGTTGTTCTGGGAATCTCAGCAGTTTAGCAGGCATCGGTGTCGTCATCGCCATCCCCCCCCGGCCAACCTGCTTCTCAAAACTGACTGGGGGACGGCGCGCCGAGATACGGCATAGTCTAATGGTAGGGAGTGCTCTTTGGGAGATCCCGCAGAAAGCTCTTCTCCTGTCGGGCGCCGTCTTGAAAAAAACACAACATACATGCTGCATGGTAGCCCGCCCTTTCGCAGAGACAAAAAAGAGAGGCACAAAACATACAACCTCAATCAAGCAGTCAGTGCGAGTGAGTGAGGAAAATTACTGCTGTACCAAGCTGTACAATAGTCCGTCGTATTAGGCTAGTACACTTCGAAGTACTACTGAAGGTAGTGAATTGTAATAAAGCCACGAATCGGTCTCTCGAAGGCAATAAGATATGGGGGTGTTTGATTTAATTAATTGTTTTTGGGTTTGGGGAGTACATATCTACGTGGAGTTGTTAGTGTCCGCCAACGGGATGAGGCGGACGGACGTACGTACGTTTCGCCTGATGGAGCAAGTATTCAGCACCCACCACAACAACAGAACACCCGATCACCACGCCGTTGTTGCCTCATCACAGAATAATAATAGAAGTGCACACCTTCTCCAGACAGCATGCCGTGTGTGTGCGTCAAATAAAATGAACGCGTTGGACCTTACTCCACGAGAAGATAGAAGGGAACAGGAGGAAGGAGTTGTTTAGTGACCCGCATATCCCCGCCTCGCATCAGCCCTTGTCGGCCCGCCGCCCCGCAGCCCCTCCATCCCCCGTCCCCCCCCCCAGTTCGCTCGCCTCATTATTCACGCATCGCACCAAGAATTCGTACGTCCCCTAAAACCCGAGTGCTGCGCAAAAAGACCTCTGACTTGGTAACCAACAACGCAGCGTCTGCGGGTCCTCGTCCTCGCTAACACAACGACCAGCACAGGACAGGCGGACTGGCATCGTTTTCTTGTCTAGGATGGCCCTGATTGAACCAGCAGGCACGGCCTCAAGCGGTGGGCCAAGCCCGGAGACTAGCTCGCTTCCTCGAATCGGCTCGCGGACCTTCCGAATATCAGACACCTCGGGAGAGGTGAGAGGAGAACAACGACTCTCTGTGTGTGTTTATTATTAGCTATTTGCGTATGTCGAGTCCATAGGGGAATAGGCGGAGGAAGCCGGAGCGTGGTGGCGGCGGGAAGGCTTTTTACTGTCGTGGCATTACTGTCTCTGCTCTTTTAATCGTTTGTGTTTCTTGCACCCCTCGGTGTGGCGAGAATTTTGTACGCTCTCCGTTGCCATCGCTTCAAATACGCACAGACCAACACATACGCACAAGGCTACCGCAGTAGCTGGAGAGCGATGGATGATGTTTGACAGCAGTGGAGTCTGTTCCATACAGAACATGTGGATGCCCTCCTCTTGTTGTTGGGTTCTGCCTGTGGCGCGGGAAGAGTCCCCCTGTTTTTGTAGGCACACAGCAGCGCGGGCTGAGGCATGTATATGGGCACCAGCTTTCCGAACGTCCGCTGCTATGGAGTATGTATTAGGAAAAATATGTATGTTACCCTTTCAGGTCCTGTGTGGTAGACCCGAAAGAGAAGGAAATGCCCACCCACCAAATTTCCGGAATTTCTGCCGTCTTTGTTTGTTGTATTTTTCGAATAAAGCTCGCTTGGAAAATCGGTACGGCCGCCCATGCTATGGATGTACAACAGTATGCGCACGCGCTTTACGGATACGTTGTTGTTATGCCAACCCGCTGGCTGTTGTTTCGTTGAGAAGGCCATCCTCGTTGTCGTCTGGATTGCAGTGCGGGTAGGTGCGTTTGAGTGCTTCAATGAAATCTTGGTGGAGTTTGGAGGCCCGACCTCATGAAACTTCAAGGAACTTGCGATGCGGTGCAACGTGCAACGACTCTCGTCCCCCTCCGGCTTCGGGGGTCATCCCACCAAAAAACCATACGTACATACATACATACCCGCAGAGGCGTAATACCCGACACCTTTTGGCGTTCCGTGCCCTTCAAGGACCGAACGCCTTGATTGATGCGGTGCTGAGGGGGGGGTGTTGTTCCCTCGAAGATGCGTGTGCGAGGGGGCAAGCTGCTGCCAGATTATCGGTAGAAAGTGGTGGCCACGCTGCTGCCGCGACTCTGAACACACCCAACCCACACTCACTATGTACAATGGTAGCCATTTACGCTTAGCTGGCATATGTAGGAGACAAAGGATCTCGATGTTATCCTCTTGTCAAAGGACGTCTGCTTGTGCGGAATCACTGCACATGCTGTCGCGAGCGCGCCAGGTGTCAACAAAGGCTTCACGTCCGCCGAGCGTAGACTTTCGAAAGGTTCGGCGGGTACAGTATGACCGCGCGGGAAGACGAGAAAAAAAGAAAAATCGCACAGAGTGTTCGATCGATCGAACCAGCTGCATCAGATATTGCACTGCGTCCCAACCACAACAATGCCACCTGAGATCGGAGTGATGGCAGGTGCTGGAACACTGATGTACACTGGATGTCATGTCCAAGGGCACCATTGCTTTTTCCGTTGTTTCCCCAGCAATTGGAGGGGGGTTGTACTCATAGTCGTGCATGCCGTAGTCGTTTGACCATTGAATTGAACTCGCGTCCCTACAAAGCCGGGACGGAGCACGCCGGGTTCTCACCGGACCAGGCTCTCACATCACCGAGCGCGAAGCGCCGTGAGGTATCGGCGAGTCGCATGGAGGGTGCGCTGCATCCTGTATAGGGTGTTCAAGTGGGGTCGGGAGGGGGTGAAACGCAACCGCGCGGGGTAGCGTTCTCTCATTTTGCGAACGCTACATTACTTCAGCGGAACAAGCGCGTCGTGATTGACACAGGCAATCGCAGCGGCAGCTGAGTTGTGGCCGCGGCTTCGTATTGTAGCGGCAGCAGACCAACGTACCACGAAGTCGAGAAAGACAGCATGATACACCATATTCTACAGGAGACCACGACCGAAAAAGGCGCGATCTTTGCTACCATGTAGGCTACGCTCTCCTCCGCAGAGTGCCCAGACTTCCGGGCGTTCCCCTATGACGACGAGACTCCGCGTCGTGGGTGTGCGTGGCAAACATCCCTTTTTTAAGACAAGACATATTCAATCGCAGAAAGACTACGAGACAATACCCCAAATCGAAGCGTTGTGTGTGCGGTGAAGCCTGTGGGCTGAAAAGATCAATTTTGCCAATTTTACCGAATGATGCCGCCTGTGCTGTTTACGTTTGCTGCTGTCCGTGTGCCAGTCCGCGCGGGACAGGCTGGACTTGGAAGAGTTCAAGGCGCGCTTGACAGAAGGGTTCAACCTCGTCAAGCATAGCAGATCGGGAAAAGCGAGGTGAGTTGGAGGGAGGGTCCGTCTGGTACCGAGATTTGATGGGGGTCTCTGCGGCATCAAAAACGAGGAACACTGATCGGGTAGATACACACAAGCCTACCGGCCACTTGTAGCTTCCGGCGAAGCTCGGCTTGGGTACATATCTGTCGACTATTTGGCAATGCGAGATCGAGATTCGACCGTAAGACCCCGATTTATGGGAACAAAATCTTGTCGATAAATCTTGATCTTGGCCAAGATCTGTCAGTTTCACGATTTATGGGAACAAAATCTTCCGATATATCTTGGCCAAGATTTCTCGAGGCCCGAAATCTGCCCTTTCGAACAAATCTTGACTTGTCAAGTCGAGCCTTCCGACAAATCTTGAGGCGGCGTAACAAATCTTGCCTCAGTGCGGCGCGATCACCGAAGGTCAGTCAACCTAATCGTCCATAACGCCATGAAATCTGCGCGTGGCACACTCGCAAGGGTCTCTAACGCACCCTGGCGTCACTGTGTCGGCGCCACGGGCGCCGACAGCGAACGAAAACAACCAAGGCGCGCGAAAAAAATGCGTATTTGCCCTGACTCGTTCCACGTGCGTCATCACCAGTCTGTGGAGGGACCGTTCAAAGAGTACTTTATTTTGAAGTAGAAAAATATAGCAGGAGGAACGTTTTGCCAACACTGCTCTGTCGTGTGCGACGCTTCTATCTCTTCATCGAATCACCCCACACCCAATCCGTTTGCACCCGAGCCATATCCGTGGGTGCAGATGACAAGCGCCGGAGGTTTGACCTCGGTACGCCTGCTACATCATGAGATACGTGCATGGGTGTCATCGGCCTCGGGTTGATGCACTTTCTTGTCAGTTGGACAGCAATGGAACAGTTTTGTTTCTCCGCTTGACATGAGCTCGTGGGCAACGGATTCAATTTTGCACCCCCAGGTAGGCGCCCATCGCTAGTATCCACCCACAGTGTTGAGGCAATACAGCTGGGGGAGGGATGCCCCTTCTACAACTGCGTCATGCTCCCTTTTCGCCACACCTTGGCATTTTCTGTGGACCAAGTGGCCGTTGTGCCTTTTTCAACTTGAAGCAGAAGAGAGGAACAACACGCCGCATTTTCAACATTCAAGATATTTCCCCCATAAATCGCGATACTGCAAATCTTCGCGGAGATATATTGTGAGCAAATCTTGGGTCAAAATGCCAAGATATCATTGCAAGATTATGTTTCCATAAAGAAGGGTCTAACAGGCACGGCGCGGCTGCCGCTGGGAGGCGACGCGGCCGTCAACATGTGCCATTTAAGGCGGGGTTATCAAACCGGAACTACAAACCCAGGTTTTGCTCCCAAACCAAGAGTTGGTCTGGTGGTATCCTATAATAGAACCCTCGGTTGTGATTACTGTAGGTGGAACGATTGATGACACCACTGCTGCTGTTGTCTTCGGTTGTTTTGTTCCAGCTGAAACTCCGGCAAGCTGCGTTCTCGGTCGGAATATCGGACTAACTTTCTCAAATATTGTACCGCATGTACCGCATGACTACTGCTGATCTTGTTGACTTGTTGAACTCCTATGTCTATGGATGGAGAGATGGTTTTGTTTTGCTTGTGTATTCTAGGGAAAATGAAAAAGTATAAACATCTCCATCCTTAGGTTGGACAAACCACGCACAAAGTTTGGTCTACTCCATCAAGGGCAAGAGGGTTTTGGTGCGTCGCAGTCGCCGCAACGCCACTCTCTTGCCCGGATGCGGTGCGTGCACCCTACACAACGAGCTCCACAGCCAACCCGCAAGGAACAAGAATGCCCTCTTCTTTTTTCCTGTGTGCTGACGAACGGAAGCGTGACCAGCAGCAGCAGTAGCTGCTGCATAGCTGCTGCTGCTGCAGCAGCCACAAACCCCGCAACGATATCAACCTTAGCTTGTGCCGCTCACGAGTCTTGCGTTTTTCAGAATATACGTATCACAGAAAGACTACGCTTCTTTTTTTTGCCACGCTCATACATGGTGACCTGGTGGCCGCGCGGCTACGCGAGGAAACCGTGCCATTTCCCACTTTATCTCGGGCGGTTGGTTGTTCGTGCTCGCACCGCAAGCCCGCGACAGGCCGGTATTTAGATCATGGTCGGGCAAATAAATTGTTGTTTCTCCGCGCCTTCAAAGTTGTTCTCTGCATCTGGTTTTTGGACATGCGGTTAGGCCGGAACACGCTTTTGCTCCGAGAGTTATGTGGAAATGTCTTATCGGTCTAACGCTTAGTCTGGGAGCGAAATCTAGGTATGAAATCGCGGTTCAAGACCCGGCCTTAATAGTGAACCTAAACAGCGCAGTACCCCCCCACCTCCCCCGCCCAATGTACTAAAGCTTGTCGTCGGCCTCTATGTGGGTGTAGCTGTTCATGTCAACACAGCACAACTTCAAGTTCAGCCTCTTGTGTCGAATCTATCGCATACGAGGGCATGGAAGTACTCAATGACTGCAGCTGCGGTAACTTCGTTGCGTTGAATAGGGTTGCCGTCCCTCTCTGAAGCATCCCACCCCACATACAGATCTTGCTGTTCGGTGATGCGTGTGCCACTTCGACCCTACCCCGCTCCACCATGTCCGTTTTGTTGTAGTGGTTGTTGTCTTCACGTTAAATACCGTTCCGGTCTCCGCTCAGTCCCTTCTAATGTG